TCAATAACCTGACCGCAAATCAAGCGTTGAAAAATAGGAAGCGGCATGCAAGCAATTAATGACGTCATCAATCCGTGGTAAGGTATATACATCTTTCTTCGTCACAGTGTTTAGACGCCTGTAATCTACGCAGAATCTCCCGGAACCATCCTTTTTCCTTATAAGAATTACCGGGGCTGCCCACAGGCTGGACGACTCTTGCACAACCCCTTTGTTCAGCATGTCCTTTGCTTGTTCGGCGATAACTTTGCGCTCAGAGGATGACACTCGGTAGGGCTTTTGGCGGATGGGGTGTGCAGAGACAGTGTCTATTCTGTGACGAGCGCGGGACGAGGGTAACTGAAGGGGTGCATATCTATGTTTGAAGTCGAAAGCAGCAACATGCCGGGAAAGAACCTGCACCAGCGCTTGCCGTTACGTCGTACTGAGAGTCTTGCTGATCATAGCGAGCATTATATCTTCATTATGGCGAATATCACAAGCACAGGAAGAGGTGGGGAGGTCCGTAGCTATTGCTGCTATCAAGTTGCATGAGGCTTCATCAAAGAGAGCTATCTTCATCCCGCGAGGAAGCACAACCGGCGTGGCGGAACAGTTCAGCGCCCACAATGTTGCTACTCCTTTTGTCATGCACACAACAGAACAAGGCACAAGTATGTCCTTTTTAAAACAGTTCTTGCGCAGAGGCCCCACTACGAGGTCAACACAAGCATCATCAACCGCCGTGGAAGAGACTCGAACGGGTGTCAGGCACCAAGATGGTGCTATCACTTCATCAATCACACTAAGTGTGTTCCTGTCTTCGCCACCGTAGTATTCTTCGGAAAGCGACGGTAAAAACAAATTGTTTAGTGATATTTCTCCACTACCACAGTCAACGGAAGCACCGCATTGCTCCAGGAAATCGATACCAAGAATGACATCGTGCGAACAACGAGATAGAACCAGAAATTCTGATACAAATACTTTTCCAGCCAATGAAACACTGACAGCACATACACCAAGAGGATTAAACCACTCGCCACCTACACCACGAAAGGTGATTGTATCGTCCCATGAAAACATAACTTTGCGACCTAAGCGGTTTCTGAAGGCGAGGATCATCACAGACACAGTCGCCCCAGTGTCAACTAACGCCATCGTCGTTATTCAATCAATAAACACATTCACTTTGTTTTTGATCATAACAATAGGCAGAGGTATATCTTGAAAAGACCGTCCGGCGACCTCACCTCCATTGGCCGCGGATGCTAGTTTCCCGGCGGTGGAGAAGAACGACGCAGAGGAGACGGCGAGCGACGAGAACGGTTGGATGGTGGTGTCAAACTCCGCCCGGATGCTGGCGAATCACTTCGTCTGGTCTCGCGCGAAAAACGGTCCCTTGGAAACAAGTCGGTTGTCCGCAGGTCATATAAAGCACCGGGTCTTGGTGGTGAAGACATGGCTGGTGTCCTTCGCGATTGGCGGCGTTTTTGGCGGCAATACCGAGAAATATGCCCAGTGAAACCACAGTTGTAGCACGGGAGGGTCACGGTTTATACTATATTCAATGGAACGAATCCTGGGCCGCTGCTGTCAGCGAGGAAGTTCGTTATCACGCGAAGAACGGGTTTCTGCCACTCTCTGGAATTCATTGTATTCATCGTAAGTTACATCTTGGTAGTAGGGTTGGTACTGTCCTTGCCGCAGCGGGACGTAGTCCGGCTGAGAGCCCTAAGTATAAGAATGTGGCTGTGCTCGTCGTGATCGTGCGTCATAGGCAGGGCCTGTATCGTATAGAAGTGGCTGATACTGAGGCGTGGCATCAGAATCCTCAAAGCCCTCCGCCACTCGGTGCGAGGAGAATGAAGCAACGTTTCGCTCGAGCTCTGGTGGCTGATAGGGGGGATGAGTGCTTGGGCGGTTTGCCACTTGCACGTACATGCCGAGTTTTTCACGTACTATCTGCCGGATTGTTGTTGCAAGATCAAGCGCCTGGCTGCTGTCTATGCTCGCGATGGTCGTCACATCGGGTAGCCTGCCGAACTTTGGCGTGATGCGCCTCGTCTTTAGTTGCTCAAAATTGCGGCAATAACGAATGACATCGGTGACAGATGCCAAGGTGTCTTTCGCGATGAGGAAACTGTAAACATCCTCGGCGATTCCTTTTAGAATGTGCCCGACTTTGTCTTCCTCAGACATTCCGGAGTCAATGGTCCTACATAGCTTTATGACTTCCTCAATATAGGTCGTGCAAGTTTCACCTGGCACTTGAGCGCGTTGCATTAGCGTCTGTTCTGCTCTTTTCTTTATCGTTGTTGGGTCGCCGAAACGCTCTTTGATTTCAGAAACAAATCTGTCCCACGTCGTTTGCGTTTCCTCCCGATTCTCGTACCACATTAATGCAGTATCCGTCAGAAAGAACGTGACGTACAAAAGCTGAGAAGCGGCATCCCATTTGTTAGCGGCGCTCACCCGTTTGTAATGGATGAGCCAAGCCTCGACGTCTTCATCTGGTCTGCCGGCAAAGGGACGAGCATCTCTCAGTTGTGGAGCCGAACTGGTCGGCGCAGAAGTCGAGAGGGGTTGGTGTTAATTTGCGTTGTGGGACATGTCCAGACCAGATGGATTTGGTGGAAGTCCAACTCCGTCGAAGAACTTATGGTTCACCTTCCGTCTTCGGGTGTCGATTACTCGCTCTTACAATATATATATATATATATATATATATATATATATATATATATATATATATATATATATATATATATATATATATATATATATATATATATATATATATATATACCATATTTTTCCGAAGGAAATCCTGATGGGATGAGAAGCAACAGTGGTGCACATTGACCCGATTGAATCGGGCGTAGACGTGGTAGCTGGAAAAACGGTTTGAAGTGAAACACTGCGTAGCATACGTTTACTCGAGTAAACGTTTGTTTGAAATGCTAAGACACGGGAGGCGGATTGGGTTTCGTGTAAGTTTCATCGCAGATAAATTAATTGAAAAAAAATTTGGAACATTCCACGTACAGTGCGAATCGATGATATGCAAAGCATGAATGAGAAATGATGATATGTAACTTTAAAATTAACGCAACGCTACGAGGTGGAAGTAAATGAAGCTGTATGTGCCTTCCGTGTCATGATTATCACGTTTGGATGTGTCGTTTACCTTCGTAATCTATTCACGTCACGTGATACCAACATTAGTATATGTGGAGCTAGCGAAACGCTCGCGAGCACGCTATGAGCATGATATTTGTATATTCTTACATGCCACGTGTGTCAGGATTATCCATGCATTGATCAGTGATATATTTGGTCATCATTTGGCGTCATGTAACACCGAATTTGGTATGTGTGGAGCTCGCAAAATGGCCGCGAGCGCATCATGAATGGCCCAATACTCTTCAATGTAGCGTTTACGCGCGCGCACGCTGGGCACAGCGACGCTACGTTAGAAAAACGCGAGCTATCCGTTTACTTCCATCGTTTTCCGTCGTTCGCTTTACCTGTACCTCGCTCTCTCCATCCTCTATTTACCTTTTATTCCTATTCGTTTACTACCTCCTTCCCTCCATCCCTCGTGAGCTACTGTTGAGGTGTCGCACTCTGATGCAGGACAGTTACGGGGCTCATTTTTCTCTTCTTTTCTCTTTAAGAATCACATAGGTCTGACGCCAGGAGCGACCATCGTGACCAGCGCCCGTCGTCGCGGCCCGCCGGCAACCGGCGCGAAATGCGACATGCTGCATTTCGTACCCATGCGTTACCCAGACGACACTCTGTCTCCTTCTTTTCGTGATGGAGGAACGCCGGACGCGCTGAAACGCGCATGCGTCAAAGCAACGCAGCGCAGTGCGCGCCTGCCGGTAAATGGCAGCGCTGTGCGTTCGCGTACTCAACGGTGGCGGGACGCAACGAAATGAACGCCGGCGAGCACGCGCGCCACGTCACGTCTAAATGTATTGACGCCTTGACTGTGGCATGTAGATGTTCTCACATGGCACGCATCTCATGATTACCATGTTTGCACCAGTCACATACCTTGGTGATTCATTGACGTCATGTAATGCCAAATTTGGCATATGTGAAGCTAGCGAAATCGCCGCGAGTGCATCATAAGTGTGGCTTGTGGTCATGTTGTTACATGACACGCGTCTCATGTTTATGATGTTTCCCCAGTATCATGCCTCCGTCATCCATTCACGTACCCTAATACCGAAATTGGTATATGTGACGCTAGCGAAACAGCCGCCAGCGTATCAAGAGCGTGGCATGAGTGATGTTGTTACAGGACACGCATGGCATGATTTTCATGTTAGGGTCAGGCGCTTGTGTTCGCCATGCAATCATGTCATACCATACCAGTTTTGCAACATTACATGTGAACGAAACCACTACAAGAGCTGTAGGACCATAATATGTAAATCATGACATTCGTGACATACATATCATGACTTTAATGTTATGACTTGTCAAGTATGTTCTTCACACAGTCATGTCATGCCATACCAAGTTTGGTAATGATACCGTTATCGAAACTGCCAGGAGAACTAAAAGGTCGTGGGCGGTTAGATAGATAGATACATAAAGTCACCGAAGTTCGCTAAGAAATGCTTCGCATTTAATACACATGATTAGTCACGTGTCCGCAGCAGCCATACGGACGCAGCCTGTTAGCTATTTGCAATGGCAGGCTGCGTCCATACAGCTGCCGTGGACGCACAACTAAATCTGTCTAGTGTTTCCATTCCATGTGCGGTCGAGTGTTGTGGGGGGTGGACAAAGTGAAGCGAGAGAGAAGTGTGTTGTGAGTGGGCGGTGGAGCCAGCTGCTGTGGAAGAGGGAGAGAGTTGTGTCCACGCGCAGCTGCAACTTGACCTACTAGGCACCACTCCAACACCTGCGGCGAGGGTGTCTGTTTGAACACACGGGAGAGTGTTACACATGGTTGTCAGAGCTGCTTCGCATCTAAAAAACTGAACTTTTTGCTTTCCCAGGCATCGTACATGATGATGAGGTCCGGCGTGCGGACTAACCTTTCGTGGTTGCTGCTCAACGCTCACCTCACGGACACCACAGGACGCTGTCTCAAGGAAGGGCCCTTCGAACGCGTGAAAAAGTTCAGACAGTTTCATTATCAACCACGGCCGTCGCCTGGTTAGCCATGGACGCTGCTACGGCTACGAAATAGACGACGGCGGGCCAGCACAGTACCCCTGTGTTTTGCGTAGTGTACTGCAACATATGTGTGGGACCTTGTTTTCTCCTGACTCGCGTTACCAGGTTAAAAAATAAACGCGCGTGAGCTTTCTGAGTTTGCACTTTTTGACGTTTGCATGTGAAAGATTCCTGCAGACAGGAATAATTCATGGCCTTTAACGTCCCACCATCACAACATGATTATGAGAGACGCCGTAGTGGAGCGCTCCGAAAATTTCGACCATCTGGGGTTCTTTACCATGCACTTAAATCTAAGTACACTGGCAGTACACGAGCCATTTTCGCCCCTATTGAAGATTCTTCCGCCACAGCTGGCATTCGTTCCCGTGACTTGCTGGTCAGCTGTCGAGCACCATAATCACTGGACTACTGAGGCAGGTTATTTCGGCAGATGCGACCCATTTCGAGGAATTAATTTCATGTGAAACAATTGGGGAGTAGCTGTACAAGTGGCATCCGTTGAAAGCGGAGCTGCCTAGGCTTGGAGCAGCGCTGTTTGTCGATCGCAAGACTGAATAAGCGGGGAACAGCGAAGCAGAGTGTGGAGAAAAAACCGAGCATAGCGATGCAATTCAACGATAGGAGAGGTGAGACAAAGTGCCTGCCTGCCCGCCTGCCCGCCCGCCTGCCCGCCCGCCTGCCTTCAGTGCAGCATCGGTTGAACCCACTGCTAAACACCGGGGCCACACGTTCCAGCTTTTGCTGGTTAGTCATTTGTGCGAATTGCTCAAGTGATGATATCTTGAAAGGTTAACAATAAAATTGGTATAAAACGCTAATCGCGCACAGCCACCACTTTTCTCAGTGGTGTAAAGGCAATACATACAAGACTACTACCCGTAGTAGTACATGTGCAGAAGCTCGCAGAAGCGCCCATCTTTGATTGCGAGTGCGCACTCACTTCAAATGGTCATTTCTCGTTCTCAGTGCCGTGGCAAAAAAAAAAGTCGGGATAGGAGGGGGGGCGGGGTAGCACGGGCTTGGTATGCCACTCCCTGGCTTTGTCCCTGCCACAAGCGTCTCGTTTATCGGCTCATAGCGGAAACAGCCTTCCTAGACGTACTTGTAGAAAAGTGCAATGCTACAGGCTATAGTTTTCTGAGCCACAGGACAGCCCATGTGACGTTTATTAGATCAATATTGCCACGTGCATAGCTGCATTTAGTGGCGAGATAGCGACGACAACGAAGAACGCGGATTTGCTCAAGAGGCGCAGCGCAGCAGATTGAAGAAGACGACAATCTTAGCGGCCTTCTCTGTGTACATAAGGGCAACAAAGAGATTACCCTGTTAGCCTATTGTTATTATTTACGGCTACGAGACTACCTGAATGCCTGACTTAGCACACTCGATGATCCTGCCGCCCGGTTCTTGGCCGATCCCCCTTTGTGGGCGAGTGCCAGCAAAGCTGAAGGTTCATCATCATCATCATCTTCTCTGAGAGCGTCTCTACAAGTCCCACTGTCCGTGTTTTTAAATTAACCCCCCTGTAATTTATAACCCGCGACACTGGTGGAGGGGCTGGGTACTACCACCTCATGATCAGCACCCCTGTGAGAAGCCCCGAGTCCAGCCCTACGAGACAGCCACGCGTGGAGATGCCTGTGCACCGCTTAAGCCGTCGCCTTCAAGGTCTTCAACCAGAATTTGGCCTTTCAAAGGGAGCAACACTTCCGACAACCACCCGTACTCAATAAAGGGCAAGGAGTCCTGCACAGGTGACTGTCCAGAATATGCGCATTTCTGAACCATTTCATGGTCGGCCGAACGAAGATGCGCAAGACTGGCTTGAACAGTTCGAACGGGTAGCTAAATCGAACTACTGGAGTCTCGATGGAAAGCTGGTTTATAAACCGGGAGGCAACATTGACGACATGGGAGGAGCTTTGTCGTCGGTTTCTTGATACCTTTGGTAACGCGGACCGACGCGAAAACGCACAACGCCTTCTTGAAGGACGCACCCAACAGCTGCATAAAGCGTCGTCATGTTTGCTGAGGATATGTTGCACCTGTGCCTCCGCGCGGACCCCAACATGCCCGAGGCTCGAAAGCTAAGCCATCTCATGAGGGGCGTCAAAGAGCAGCGATGTGTTGGTCTTGTGCGCAATCCGCCGACAACAGTGGACGAGTTCACCAGGGAGGCCACCGCAATAGAGCATGCGCTGCAGCAACGGTACCGACAGTCTGATCGCCCGGCCACCGGCGCAGGTGCAGGCGCCACCGCACCTACCGAAAACGACGAGTTTTCTCTATGCCACCTGATTAGACAGATCGTGCGTGAGAAGATCGCGAAGGAGAACGCAAAATACACATTGCAGTCACAGGCGCTCTCGCAGCAGGAGTCCACGGTAGCCTCCGTCGCTGAAGTCGTTCGCCATGAACTTCGACAAGCGTTTGCCTCTCCTCAGCTATATTCCGCTCCACCGCACCGTCCAAACTCGTGTACCTATGCAGACGGCTGTGCGTCGTCCATTGGCTCCAGAAGTATCATACCAGCCGAACGGATACAGATATGCAGATGCTGTTCGTCGACCCACGCCCATGCCAGCGCCGCAGTACCTCGAACCGTATCCTGTGGCAGCCTGGGCTCAGCAGGATTCTGTCAGGCGACCCTATATGCGGAAGACCGACATATGGGGCACTGCGGATCGCCGACCACTCTGCTACAACTGTGGAAAACCAGGGCACATTTACCGTTTTTGCCCACATCGCCGAGCTGAATACCGCGGTAGTGCACCTACAGCTACGCGCCGACAGTTCGACGAAAGCCATGCCCCCCTCGACGACGACCAGGCTGGCAGGCGGGAAGGCTCTTCTAACTTCCGGACGCGCTCACCATCCCGGCTCGCTTTGGTTCACCAAGCCACCATAGTTTTGCTGACGCCGTCAGAGGTCGGTCTCGCAGTCCACGGTGGGGAAACTGAAAGCAGCGACCTCTGGAGGAAAGGTTGCAAGCCGTCGAATTGCCCAAAATCCCTCACTGCTGCCGAAACACGTGAGAGACGACGATGAAGACTTCGCCGAGAAAACTGTGACTGCCGACCTCGCTGTGACGATTGACGGCATTGAAGTGACGGCCTTAGTCGATACGGGTGCAGACTTCTCCATAATGAGTGAACGATTGGCAGACGAACGCAAGAAAGTCAGGATGGAATGGACGGGCCCTTATATCCGAAATACTGGAGGCCAAATAATGACTCCCACGGGAAAATGTACAGCTAGACTCACTATTGGGGATGTGGCTTTTGTAGCCACATTTCTGATCCTACCGGAGTGCTGCAAACCTATGATACTGGGAATGGACTTCTTAAGAGAGTACGGTGCTGTGGTCAACATACGCGATGGTGTGATCACATTTGCCGCCGACAAGTCTGTGACCAATGATCCAGACCAAGAACCCAGGGTGTTACGCGTGGTCGACGACAACGTCTGCGTGCCACCACTGTCATGTAGTCTTGTTTCCGTGTGTTGCGCCGTGCACTGTAATGAAGACGCCATAGCCGAACGCATCACTGCCCTTCTTTTTCACCAAGGCATCGCCATCGCTCGCAGTATCGTCAGCTTAGTGGATGGGCGCGCAGAGGTGCTTCTGACCAACTTCACGAATGAGCGCTGGTACATCGGTAAAGGCACGGCTGTGGCGTACCTCGAAGAGCTTGACTACTCTCACTGACTGTCTTATAATGCAAGGGGAAGCCACAGCTCAATCACCTCCACATACACCACCAGTTGATATCGGTCAGAGTCTAACACCGACTGAAAGATGCCGTCTTATCGAGCTGCTCGACCAGTTCAAGGACTGCTTCTCATCGACATCACGAGTGGGTCGAACGCCTCTGACTAAGCATCGCATAATTACGGAAGACACAGCAAGACCGATCCGACAGAACCCATATCGCGTCGCTCAGAAAGAACGTAAGGTAATCCAGCAGCAAGTCAAAAAGATGCTAGAGGATGATGTAATCCAGCTATCAAAGAGTCCTTGGGCATCGCCAGTGGTACTCGTGAAAAAGAAAGATGGCAGCTTGCGTTTCTGCATCGATTATCGTAAGCTGAACCATGTTTCAAAAAAAAAGACGTTTATTCATTACCACGGATCGATGACTCTTTGGACAGGCTATGGCATGCGCGCAACTTCTCAGTCATGGACCTTAAAAGTGGATACTGGCAAATAGAAGTAGATGAGCACAACCAAAAAAGACCGCCTTCTTGACGTCAGACGGGCTTTATGAATTCAAAGTCCTTCCTTTCGGTCTATGCTCAGCCCCAGCCACGTTTCAGAGACTAATGGATACCATTCTGTCCGGCCTTAAATGGAAAACATGCCTTGTGAACCTCGACGACGTGATCATTTTTTTGGCCACATTTGAAGAGCATCTAAAGCGGCTACTGTCCGTCCTTCAAGCCATACGGTCAGCTGGACTCACACTCAAACCGGAAAAATGCCACTTCGGCTTCGAAGAACTCCAGTTCCTGGGACACGTGATCAGTCGTGAAGGTGTGAAGTCTGACCCAGATAAAACAGCAGCCGTCGCAAAGTTCGCAAGGCCTGTTGATAAGAAAGCGGTCAGGCGTTTTCTGGGTCTCTGCGCCTACTACCGGCGATTTATAGCAAACTTTGCACACATCGCCTCTCCACTCACCCGCTTACAAGGGAACACATTGCATTTGTATGGGGTGAAGAGAAAGAAGCTTCGTTCAACGAGCTGCGACAGCGTCTACAAACTCCACCTGTCCTCGCTCACTTCGACGAGAATGCACCAATAGCCATCCATACAGACGCCAGCAATGTGGGCCTAGGTGCTGTTCTTGTCCAATGCCAAGATGGTGTGGAGAGAGTGGTTGCCTACGCTAGCAGAACTTTGACACGCGCCGAGTCCCAACTACTCAACAACGGAGAAGTCTGGCCGTCGTTTGGGCAGTTGCGAAGTTCCGCCCGTACTTATATGGCCGTGCTTTCCAAGTCGTAAGCGACCATCACTCTCTTTGTTGGTTGACCAACATGAAAGACCCATCTGGACGTTTAGCACGATGGAGCTTACGGCTCCAAGAGTACGACATGGCCGTAGTTTACAAGTCCGGACTGCAACACTT